AAATAGTTATGCCATTGTTTTGAGGGGACAAGTAAAGGTATATCAGACCAGACCCATGGTAGGGGGGCAATTTTAGTCCAATTGCTGGTGCTGTCAAAATAGCCAAGATTAGGCCCTGAATATTTTAACTCTATATAAGTGACAGATTGATTAACAAGTGTTAACTGAAAAGGATGTGCTCCCATAGGGGAACCTAGCTTCCTACATTGGTGCCTATGTTCATACACGGAATGTGGGCTTAACTCAGTCCAATTGCTAGAGGRTACTCCCAGCAACGGCCGGAGTAACTGTTGTACCTCTCCACACAACCAGCAATCCCTTATTCCAGTATGGTTAGCTATGGATCCAAGCAAAGCTACATAATTATTAGTATCAAAAGTCACAGTAACTAGCCATAGAACAAAGAAGTACCAAAAGAGGTTCATACTTTACGACTGAGCTTCAGTTTCAGTCCTTCACCATCAATAGGCATTGCAGCCTGACAGGAGATTTTTTGAGCCGGGTATAGTGGATCCAGGTGGGTCTCTCTTTGATGCGTACTGCAGTGAAAGCTGTCAGAAGGACTTGGAAAGGTCCATCCCATTTCTCCTGCAGAGGATCACCTGAAAAATTCTTAAYATATACRCAGTCACCAGGATCAATTGCATGTAATTTATGATCTGGTTGCTTAGGTTGATTTTCAAACACAGTATYGAATTTTTGATGCAATTGTTTATTAATGGCTTTCAGATACTCACTGATATACTGATTACCTACTTGAGCCAAATTTTCATAGTGAGTAATATTCAATCCATAAGGCCTACCATAAAGAATTTCAAACAGACKGATTTTCTCTTTTRATCTGGGTTTCACTCTGAGTCATACAAGAGCGATAGGCAAAGCTTGGTACCAATACAAATYGGTTTCTTGGCAAATTTTTGCTATTTGCTGCTTGATCATATGATTCATTTTTTCTACCTGACCACTGCCTGTGGTCTGCAGGGAGTGTGGAGGTGCCACTGAATTCCTAACACTTTGCTGATTGCTTGCACAATTTGTGCACAAAAATGCGTTCCCCTATCAGAGGAAATTTCTCTGGGTACTCCAAATCTAGGGATAATTTCATTGAGCAGTACTTTTACTACTTCTCRAGCTTTGTTTGTTCTCCAAGGGAATGCCTCTGGCCACCCAGAAAAAGTGTCAGTAAGCACCAATAGATATTGGAAACCCCCCTTTCTTGGGAGTTCAGAAAAATCTATTTGCCATGCATMCCCTGGAAAGGCTCCCCTGTCAATCACCCCTTGTTCTAACCTGACGGTGTATTGGGATTGTTTTTCAGACAGATTTCACATTGTGAGGTTACCTCCTTAATAACCYCTAACAGACGTGGGCCTGCAATCCATGCTTTGAGATACTGGWAAAGAGGATCTACTCCCCAGTAAGTTTTATCATGTTCAGATTTCACATAATATCTTAAAGTTTTCTCAGGTATCACGAATTGGCCTCTTTCCAACTGCCCCCATCCGTTTTCTAGAAGTTTCACTTTATTATCCTGTATCCATTTGTAATCTGATGGTTGATAATTCACCTGCTGGCTCGTATCTATTTCACTGGGTATCAAGGCTGTTATCATTGAGTTATTTCCTTCAGCAGCTAATTTAGTTTGGGAATATGCAAATTTGTTAGCTTTCTCAGGGAGGGTGTTACCGCTAGATTGTCCTTGGCAATGCAGAACTGCCACTTGTGATAGGAGTTTCACTGCTTYGAGAAGTCTGAGGACATCGGTTGCCTGTCTGACAATCTTTTTCTGTGCTGTTAAGAGTCCTCTTTCTCTCAAATTGCACCATGAGCATGGATAATCCCA